CTTGCACCATGAGCAAAATCTTTGCTGTTATCTGAGTAATTATTTCTGATTTCATTTTTCCCAGATCCTCTTTTGTTGCCAGTTCAGAGTCCAGTATCAGATTGGTTGAGTATCAGAGTTTTCCACCTCGTTTCCCTTTGGGGTTGCTGTAGGTGATCCAGAAGTCTGTTTTTGAGACTTGTTTATGTGTTTTCTCATTTCCATGTGAGGGGGTGCTTCTGGCACCAGTGCAGCTCACCTTCTCTGCTCTAGGAGGTTGGGATGGCAGTGGGGGAGCTTCCTTCTGGGTTCTGGGACCGGCTCAGCTTCTCTCTACATGTGTTTCTTGTATACAGCATATTGTTGGGTCTTGTTTCTTGATCCATTCTGCCACTGCTTCTTTTGATTGGTGAATTAAGACCATTCACAATGATGGTTATGACTGCTATGTATTGACTTATTCTTGTCATATTATTTTCCTGTTGTGTTGGTTCCCTTTATTTCCTTTCTGTTTAATTGGCTGCCTTGCCTGGTGGATTCATTCTGTTGGGATTCTTGAAATTGTCTTGTCTTTTTTCAGAATATCCTTTAGAATCTCTTGTAGTTCTGGTTTGGTGGTCATGAATTTCTTCAGGTGTTCTTCATCATCGAAGTATTTTTTTCTCCATTTGAAAGATAATTTTGCAGGGTACATCAATCTTGGTTGGAGACTGTTTTCCTTTAGGGCTTGAAATGCTTCACTCCAAGTTCTCCTTGACTTAAGTGTTTGAGTTGAATAATTTGCTGTGATTCTGATGGATTCTGATGGATTTTCCTGTATAGGTGATTTGTTTCTTTAACAGCTTTCAGTATTCAGTTCTTGTGTTGAATTTCTGGATCTTGTGTATTATATGCCTTGGTGTACTTTTTTTCTGATCATGACTATTTAGAATGCTATGTGATTCACTTATCTGTGTCTCAAATTGTTTTTCCATGCTTGGAAAGTTTTCTGCTATTCTTCCATGAACAGGTTTTTTTCTATGCTCTTTGTGCTATCTTTTGATTCTTTATTGATTCCAATCAATCTTTTTTTTTTTTGGTACTGGGGATCGATCTTGGGACTTTGTGAATTCGAAGCAGGTGGCGGAACCACTGAGCTAAATTGGCCCTAATCAATCTTATATTAGCCTTCTTTGATCATCTAGAAATTGTTGAATTGATTTTCCACAGTTCCTTGTTATTTTTAAGAGGTCTTTCATTTGATGACCAACCACAACCCTGTCTTCTAGATCTGATATTTTATCTTCACATTGGTTGACTCTGCTCTGTATACTTTCAGTAGAATGTTTAATCTCCTGGATTTCTCTTTGAGTCTGTTTTATGGAATCCAGGTCTTTTCTATATTGGACATTTATGTTTTCCATGTCTTTTCTAAGCTCCTCTATTTTTTTTTGGTACCAGAGATCAAACTCAGGACCTTGCGGTTGCATGGCAGGTGGCAGAACCACTGAGCTAAATCTCTGGCCCTAAGCTCCTCTATTTTAAAAACTGTATCCACTCCAGATTCACTAACCATTTCTCTCCTTCTTCTTTTTAATTATCTCTATTTTAATTTTGTTAGATTTATTCATCTGTTTTGTTACTTCCACTGCTACCATTTCATAAAATTCAGTTGGGTGGTTTTTTTCTTTTTCAGTGCCGCGATTTGCCTTGGGTGAGTGAGCTTCTGGGTTGCATCTTGCTTCTGTGTTTTCTCATTTTCTATTTTTAAAAATTCGCTTTCCATGTTGAGGCTTGTAAATTGCTTATGGTAGGTAGCTTTATTACCAGTATTGAGACTTCTTTAGGAAATGACTACTTTTCAGAGATGTCTTCTGGGTGTAACTGGCTTTTGGCTTTTGAGTCTGTCCCAGGTTCCTGCCTCTTCAATTTATTAGGGAAGAAAGGTTATTTGTCCTAGCACTCAGTTCTTTAGTACTGGATTATAGTTATGACCCACCTAGGCATTGGCATACAAGGAAGATCATTTGATCACAACAACTTGTCACCTTGGCTAAATAATAACAATAGCATCAAGCACAGATTGAAAAATGACAAACTGTGATAAATATTAATTTGTCACCTTTAACCACAGGTACAAAATTTATAGTTATAAAACAAAATATAAAACAAATCAGAAATTTATATACACTAAATATACACTCAATAGAGCAATTTTACACTTAGGAGAAAACATTTAAAAATAAGAGGAAAAAATAGAGAAATAAAAGATGCGAGATAAGAAGCAAGGCTGATGGACAAAGGAAGATTACCCAAGCCTTGGGAAACTGGTGAAGACAGGAGTGAAAGAAAGGAAAAAGAAAAAGAAACAAGAACAAAGCAAAACTAAACTAAAATCAGTGTTCATACTCATGAAAAAAACAACAACAACAAAAAACAGGGCCAAGGATTTAGCTTAGTGGTGCCACTGCCCCTTCCCATTCACCAATAACATGGAAAATGCTGGAAACAACTGCTCACAAGACTGACCACATCCCTGAACTCAGGCTGAATGCTAATTAACTCCATGTTCAATGATGAATTACAAGTCAGAGGGAAAGTGGCAGCTGAAGTTTCTACTAATTAATCAAACATTACTTATATAGCAACTACAGCTCAGTAGGTTGAGGCATTGTAAGGAAAGAAATGCAGCTCCACTCTAAGGAGTTCAGAGAGAAGTATAACCAAATAGCCTAAGAATCCCACCCCTCCTCACTTAAGAGAAGGGAGAGCCAGTGGGCCAATGGGCAGAGAGTGGGCAGAGCCTCCATGGAGTGACCAGTTCTCCCCTGAACAGATACTGCTCACTATGAAACAAGGACACCATAGTGAGCACTTTGAGCATCAGACCTTGCTGAGATCTCACCTGAAGCCTCACTTTGGGGACTGGGTGTTTCTTCTCCATTGCTGCTGTGGTTTGAATGTGTCTCTCGGAAGTTCATGTGTTAGAAGCTTAATCCTCAAAGTCACATGTTAGTGGTATTTGGAGATGGGCCCTTTAGGAGGTATTCAGATAAGGGTATGAAGGTGGTTTCTACAGTGGATGGCATTAGTGGCTTCCTAAAACAGGACAGAGACCTAAGCTACCAACTCTTGCTCTTTCTCACCATATGATGCCCTCTGCCATGTTGTGATGCAGCACAAAGGCCGTCAGCAGATGCTAGGACTGAACTCTCAGACTCCCCAGCTTCCAGACCATGAGCCACTTAGACCTTTTTGGGGGGGTAGTCCTGGGAATTAAACCCAGGGCCTTCACACTTAACCACATCCCCAGCCTTTATTACTTTTAAAGATTTTGAGACAAGGTCTAAGTTGCCCAGACTGGGCTAAAACTTGTGATCCTTCTGCCTCTGCCTCCCAGATGGCTGAAATTAACAAGTGTGAGCCACCACCCCCAGTTTAAACTTCTGTTCTTTATAAATTACTCAGTATTTTGTTAGAGCAATAGAAAACAGTCTAAGAAGATGATGAAGACTCTGGGCTCACAGAGGCTAAAGATGCCCGACTTCAGTGGTACCAGGAGGTTACTTCAAACCCAGGTACATCTACCTTTAAGGTGTGTGCGCTAAGATAGCCCAGCCATGAATGTCTGCAGGATCATGCTTCATTCATGTAGGAGTCCACCCTGATGAATTCCAAACAATGGCAAATATGGAAGAACTTGTTCACAAGTGCTGAGACACCAGCCATTCATAAAATGCCCTGTGTGTAAGCTGGTGTGCATATGTGTATGAGCAATGCCTGAGTAGCCCAAGATGATTCAGGCCATCTGATGTCAAACAAACAAGACCTGACATGTCCTAGACAGTGTTTCCTGTCACCTCACAGCCTGAGAGGGCAGTGAACTGCTGTCCTGGGTCAGTGTGAGATGTGCCCTTTTCAGAGAACATGCTCTCAGGAGAAAAAGGCTGGGACAGTTGAGCTTCCCTGGGAGAAATGAAGATTCTAGAGAGAGTAGGCTTCTTCTCCTGTACTGCAGGCTGGGCTGCTGGCCTGACACTATATTAAATGGTGGTATGCAGGTGATGCCTGAAGGGTCACTTGTCATCTGCTGAATGAGCATAGTCTCTTGATGTCAGAATACACTGGCATTCTGCCAGTTAAAATTTATATTCACTCTGCTTCTTCAATCCTGACATAACTCCCCCATTTAACACCCACCCTGCACATGTTTCCAGGGTCTCAGGTGGCATTTGGCCACATGTGTAACACTGCACATGTGGCATGCATTTGTAAATCTTGGTAGCATCCCATGAGGGCGATGAAGTGGGATCTTCCCAAGAGCCTGTAGTCATGGCAAACAGCTGTGGATGGGAGGAGATAAGAGAGCAGCCAGGACCCTGGTCCCTTGTGGTAAATCTGGTAAGGCTGACAAGGAGCATGTGTGCATGATGCTTGTTTGAAAGCAGACTCAGGGTAAGCTTGGGCCTTTGAGAGATAATAAGAAATGTCAATGGGAAAAAAAATCATAATCAGACAGAAACAAAATATATTTATTAGAAATATTACAGTCATACATCTTAAACTTTCATGTTAATAGTTATTTACATCTATGTTTGCATGTCATATCCTGACAGTGCTTGGTGCAATCTAGTGTGCTCTTTACAGAAATGAGGCCACAGATGTATCAACTGTATTCAACTAACGTAGTTAAAATTAGTGAGCTACTTAGGATGTTACAGATTCAGCAAAACTCCAACCTGGGTCAGAAGACTGAAACACCCAGTGAACCTGGGCAATGTAGATATTAAAAATACCTTTTTTTGAGTTTGTTTTGGTTTTGAGACAAGGTCTCACTATGTAGTTCAGGCTGGGCTTAAACTCATGGGGATCCTCTTGCCTCAGCCTTTCAAATGCTTGGATTACAGGCATGTGCCACCACACCCAGCCTAAAACTTTTTAAAAAGGCTGTGAGGTTGTATCTTTTACTGTATGTGACTGGTAGGGCATCTTAAAATGGGACTGGAACTGTGGGATGGAAAGAACTGACTGCTGGAGGTGGTAGGTGGGTTTGACACAGGTGCCCTTCCATAAGGAATGGAGAGAGCAGACATTGAGAGGCTCAGCTGACATTACTGGGTGGCAGGAAAGAGACGTGGCAGATATTTATTAGTGCTAGATGGCTAATCACATTGGCACTTTTTTTTTGAACTTTTTTTTTGAGATAGGGTCTTACTATGTTGCCCAGGCTGTCCCCAAATTCCTGGGCTCAAGTGATCCTCCTGCCTCAGCCTTCTGAGTAGCTAGGACTACAGATGTGTGGTACTAGGCTCCATGGGACATGTTGTCATTCACTCACAGCATTTAATTTGGATGGTTCCTACAAAAACTGCAAATCAACAGCAGAATGAAGAAGAACAACAAAAGGCCAACTTTGTTTTTGAAGTGAGAAAAGAACAAAGGAGAGATAAGTTCCTCAGAATACTGTTGCTCAAGATACCCTATCAATCAGTCAGCCAAGATGCAATCCACAAAGCAACTCAACTGCAAAAAACCATGGACTTCTCCTTAAATCCTAACTCCTCAGGATCTTCCATTTCACAGCTGTCTTTTATATAAAGATTATATATTAAAAATGTATCTACAGAAACACCAAATAATTTTAATAAGTACCGGCAGAACAAAGAAGGGAAGACACATCACTGTTGTGGCCTCTGAAAACCTCAGGACAGACAACTGGGAAGGTACAGTTGGCTCAGGGGAAGTAAAGAAAATATAAGATAGTACTTTGTTTTTTCATTTTACCGATTTTCCACATTCCGTTTTGTGCTGAGCTCTCCCCTGATCCCACACCTCCATGGCTAGCTGGCTGGCATCTCACCTCAGGGAAACTGCTGGTGCTAGAGGGCCTGGCCCTTTATCCCACTCCATCAGCTCCACATCCAAACACTGACAACACCTGTTTCTGTAGACAAGATACAACATTCCTCTTCTACATCTCTTGGCAAAGAGAATGACAGTTAAGGAGCCTCCTTGTGTCACAAGAACAAACTGCATATGGCCTTTTGTTGATATGACACCTCCTTTCTTTTCAACCTAAAGGGAGTAGGGTACCAGTAAGGAGGGATGGGTCTGGCCAGTTATTGGCAATGTGGGTTCATACTAGAGAGGGGTGGGTGCCTGAGGGAAACTGCGTCCAGCATAGAGACCACTTTTCCCACAGCTCCATCTAGATCCTTTACATGTCACCACAGAAAACCAGCATCAACCAAGCTAAATATGTCTCGGGGAATCCCCAGACCTCAACTGCCTCACTCACACAAAACTCTAGCACAAAGGTGGTGAACCTATGTTCTACGGCACACGTGATTGTGTTTTTAAGACAAAAGATATTAATGTATGACTTGTATTTTAAAAAAATGAAAACCTCAGTATTCAGGTTTAACTGCAGTTGGCACTTTGTGATAAATAAATGGGTTTGGGGACGCAGTTTGGGGACTTGGTCTCTAAAAGGATTGCCATCACTGCCTTAGGGTAATCCCAGTTTAAACACAACCACTGGTTGATTAACCCAGTGGCTTGGGACAGTACTTCTTCCTATCTGGGCAAAGTAGAAGCCTGGAGACAGTGAAGACATAGCATCAGTTATGTCAACAAAAGACAGGTACAGGAAGCAACACAAGTAATACTCTCATTTGGATACATTCATCAGGAAGGAACAAACTACATTTGTTCCAACTGAGCCTTCTATGTGAAAACAAAGAGGCCAGTTATGTAATTAATACTGGTCCCAAAAGAGCTGCTCAGGAGTCCTGCTACTCTAATGCCACAGGGCTGCCCAGGAAAGGCACAGTCTCTCCGCTCTGTGGCTGTGCATCAGTGTCCAGAGAACTCTGACCATGTACAGATTGTTTAGAGTACATCTGACTCTTGTTCCAGATACTCAGACTCACATGATTGGGCAGGTCAGACGTGTGGTTTCTAGAAGCACCTCAGGGGATTCAGACACTGAGCCATAGCTGAAAATGACAGACACAGCTGGGAAGCAGAGGCTCTAGCTCTGCACCAGTTGAAGCAGCTTGAGAATCAGGGCTGGCCTGCCCAGCAGGGCCCAGCTGCCACCTCTGCAAAGAGCTAGCCTGGAGGAGAGGACAGAGGCCATGTGGCTCCCAGCACAGGGACTGAAGCTGCAGCCCCTAGAACCTGGCTCTGAACATGTGGCTCAGATCAGCAATCAGAGATTCATTTTAAATAATTTTGGCAGTAACTGTAAATCTAAGCGACTTGTACACATGACCCTTTGTCAGGCATGAACACAAGTGTTATTTGGCACTTAAAATACAGGTGGTGGACATATACTTCAACTGCCTGTGTGGCTGGCATCCTCATCTGCTACAAATGCACATTTCTTTGCCCAAGAAGAATAATACAGAGGCACCAGACACCTGGGCCAAGCACTGTGGGGAAGGTCCTGCTGCTACTTAGAGAAACTGGTAAGAATATTAGGGAAAGCTGTGTTGAGTTATAAATGGAGCCATCCTTGTCCACCCTTAAGGGCTTCTTTTTGCCATGCAAATATAAAAAGCCAAACGAAGTACCAAAAACTAAATTTGTCTAGAGCTGAAATATTGTTTAGATTTTCTGTTTGCCCAGAATCCCAAGATATACATCCTTCACCTTTCCCAGGCTTCCATCACAGGGCATTGTGCAAATGAGTGAAGATCACAACAGACACAGGCCATTTCATACACACAAGTGGCCTTTGGTCAAGTTCTGCATGTGGAACAAATGTATGTGGGTGTCAATGGGGGTCTGAATAAGTGGAAGGAGAAAAGTCACTGCAGACAGTTCCTGTGGTTTCCCTCTGGCCTGTGAACCACACACTGCACACACTTCCTGCTGAGGGCATCTCACAGGGACCCTTCAGCAAGGAACCTGGGGCTCCTCTGCACATCCAGATAAGAGATTGTGGGACCAAAAAATGTGATCAAGTTCTAGGTGTTAAAATTGCTACCTTGAACTTGATCGTATTTCCCCCAAATGGCAAGGCCAACATGTTTCTAGGCTGCTCCAAGTAAAAGATTTTTTGTGTTTTGTGGGGTATTGGGTTTTCTCTTTGGGAGGGGGGGAGTGGCAAGGGCAAAGTTTTTATAAAGGCAAGAACTACAATTTTTTAAGTGAAAAAACAAAAAGACTAGTTTGGAGGTACTGTTTGTCATGAATCTCTGTGCAGATTACGCATCAAGTCACCAAATGGGATTGGCGATATTGTTGTGGGTTTCTCACAGAAATGTGCTTGGGCAGAGGATCTTGGTCTAGAAGGAGGGAGGCATCTTCTGCAGAGCCTTCCAGAACAGCAAAGGTTCCCCAACTTATACTCCAATGGCACTTGCATTTGAGACAGGGACACGGTGGAACCGCCTCTGTTTCTTATTTGAGTGTTGATCCATTTGGCTTCCTTGGAAATCCAGATGGCTGGGCAGAGCTGGGTCACTGGACAGTGACCAGGTGCTTCCAGGACACACTGCAGTGGCTGATTTCAGGCCCTTGGGTTTATGTCTCAAAGTACTTGTAGATCTGGGCCACATACTGCATCACACTCTGCCAGTCAGGCCGGTCTGTGTATAGCATCTCACTGAGCTCCTGTAAGGGAAGGGGACAAATAACAAAGGATACAGCACAGGGCTTATACTGTCTGGAAACACTCCACCTACAAAGACAGAAGGTGGAGGCAAACACCTAGTGCTGAATGTGCCAAGTTAAAAAGAAAAGACTTTTCATCCTATTTATTTGGGAGGCACTGTCCCTTTTAAAAGACAGAAGACATGACTGACCTTGTGTTATTTTTATCTCTAGGACAGCATTAAAGTTTTAAAAAAAAGTTTTACAAAGACAGTCATCCATAATTTCACTAGCAGAAAATTGTTTCTACCTTTCTAAATTAAATGTAAATAAATCAGTTTTGAATTTCCCAGACTTCTATCACAAGGGACACACTTTGAAGTACTCTCTGCTTTTTCACTGGACATTTTTAGACATGATTCCATGCTGCTGCACTGTTTCACTGGCTGCCACGTTAGTGGATGCACACTGTCTGAGGGAGCTGCTGTCCATCATGGATATGATATGCAGTTTACATCCTCTTCTTCACTATTATAGACTTTTCAATAAGCATCTCTATGTAGCCTTGTCTCTTGGTGAATAAATCCCTTAAGAGAAATTCCCAAGAATGAGCTTACCATACCTTGAACCTTATTCTACTACCATTAAATGTTACCATTTAATGTGTGATTTTTCTTTTGTTCATTCAGTAATTTTCTTTGCTATTTATTTGTTTTTGCTTCTTCATTTTTTTCTTTTTCTCTGCTAATTCTGTAATCAAGCCTGTACCAAATAAACATCAGATTGAGGCCAGAAAGCGACAGGCAAGAGGGCTGGGCTCCCTGCAGAGGCCTCAGTAAAGTTTTTTGGAAGTTTGTGCACTAAACATCATGTTTAATAATTAACTTTGGGATTAAATTTGGATTCTTTTGTAGTCACAAGAGAACAGTAGCAAAGAACCTGGTGTAAAGCCAGAAGCAGAGATGAAGTGGAATAATAAGGCTGAACTGAGCATATCTGTTCCTGGGCGGTGACACAGCTAGCTGAGGCTGTTAACAAGTAATTTATCCTCTGATTCAACAATATCTGAATAGATCTTTTACCCATTCTGCTCTGTGGTCATGCTAAAAAATTATCAGCTTGCCATTTTTCATGGTGGAAGGGTAGAAAAGGAGCCAAGTAGATCATTATACACAGATATACCTAGAAATAACTCTGAATTTAAAAAACTTCAAACTGTCACAAATTTCAAATGCCAAAAGTCTCTTTCCACTTACAGCACTGTAGTCAAGGCCCTGTACACAGACTTGATATATAACAAGCTAGAATTAGTACAAGAGAGTTGCTAATAACATTAGGAAAAAGAAGTGATAAAGACTGAGTATGCTTATTCAGAGGTAGTTAGTTCTGGGTAAAGAAGGGAAGCCTACAAGTTCAAGAGAGATGCCAAACTTTCTATAGGGGAAGGATGTGCCTTCAATCTTAGAGGATTTGGAAGTCCAAACATTATTGACAGTTTTATTCAGAGGACTTTACATTAGCAACAACTGGAGGAAAAATATTTTGGTACATTGTTAACCTTTGAAAAATCTTGAAGAAATAATTTTTCACATTTTAGAGAACAGTATGTTGCATTAGTAAAATCTTATAATGCATGTCATTTGTATGAGGAGGTGAAAACCTCCACATGACTTCACTGGTGAATTCTACCAAATATTTAAGAAAAAAAAAACCAACCAATTCTCCAATTCTAAGTGATTTCTTCCAAAAAATAGAAGAGGTGAAGAAAACAATTCATTCTAGGAGGCCACAATTGCTCAAACAGCAGAATCAGTATGAGACAAGAAAATTATAGATAATTTCACAGATACAAAAAATTAACTGTACAAATATTAACAAAGTTGAAACCATTAATCTAAAAAAGTATAATATATCATAATCAAGTGAGGCTCATTCCAGGAATGGGAAGCTGGTTCAATATTTGTAAATCAATACAATCCATCAAAATGACTAAATAACAAAACCATATGATCATGTCAAGAGATGAAAAGATATTACACAAAATTCAAAAACTATAATAAAAACTAAGAATAGCAGAACTTCTTTTATCTAATAAAGGGATGTACAAAAGATTAATAGCTGACATCGTATTTAATTATAAAATATGCTGTTTCTCTAAAATCAGGAAAAAAGGCAAAGATGTTATCTCTCACTTGTCCTATTCAACATGGTACTGGAAATCTAGCTAATGCAATAAGGCATGAAAAAGAAATAAAAGATATATAGATTGGAAAGGAAGAAATAAAACTGCCTTCATCTGTAGATGACAGGATTATCTAGATAGAAAGTTTCAGTGGATCTACCTGCAAGTTTAATAAGGTCTCAGGACACAAAGTCATTGTACAAAACTCAATCATTTTCCTTACACCAGAAAAAAAGAAACTGGAATTTATAGTAAGAAAAAAAATACCATTTACAACAGTATCAAAAAAAGTTCAAAGGTCTAAATCTAACAACATATGTGTAAAATCTATATGCAGAAAACTACAAAACACTGATGAAAGAATTCAAAGATCTAAGTAAATGGAGATAAATTCTGCATTCATGAATTAGAAGATATGGTGGTTTGTCAAGTCTTTCTGTTTTTTGTTTGATCTACAGATACAATTCATTTCAATCAAAATCTCAGCAAGTCTTTTTTTCTTGTAAATAATGACATATTCTAAAATACATAAAGACAAAAGCACTAGAATAGCTAAACAATTCTAAAAAGAAGAACAAAGGGGACTAGATTTCAAGATTGTTTTTATAAAGCTATATTAATTAAGGTAGTATGGTACTGGTAAGGGACAGAGTGTTAGATCAATGGAAAAAAACAGAGCCTCCAGACAGAACCATACAATATAGAAAACTGATGTTTTACAAAGGTACAAAACTGATGTAAAAACTGATGTAAAACTGATGTTTTACAAAGGTACAAAGGCAATTTAATAAAGAAAAGACAATCTTTTCAATAAATGGTGCTGAATTGGATGCCCATATATAAAAGCAAACAAAAAATGAACCTAAACACTTTCATTTCAGCAGTGAAGGAGACCTTTCTTTTTGGCTAAGAACAGAAGAGAGAGACAAACTCACAAATCACAGTCTTGACTGTTGGGGTCTGGGAGGTTATAGATACACAGTAAAAGAAATGAGGAGAGGGATAATCAGATCTTTCCCTGGGAACAGGTGGAGATTTTCTGGGAATTTGGGTGCAACCTCTTTTTTGCTCCTTTTATTATTCTTTCTGATTATCATTACAGCAACTATCAATTCTCATGGCACTGAGGGGTGTGTGTCATTTAGAATGCAGACTGCCGGGGATTTAGCTCAGTGGTTCCGCTGCCCGCCCCACAAGCACAAGGACCCAAGTTCGACCCCTGGTACCAAAAAAAAACCCCAAAAACAAAAACAACAAAAAAAGTTGATCATTTAGTATGCAGATGGGGTTGTAACAAAGTGACCCTGTCAGGCAGTCACTCTTGTTGGTAGTGATTCTAAATTCCCAACACTTTTGTCTAGCTCACCTGAACAAGAATCTCTGTCCTACAAGCATCCTGTCTAAGCCCAGATCCCAACCTTAGAAAAGTTCTAGGAAGGTCCTCCCTGGGCCACTGGCTCCTGGGTCCCTGTCAAGAGCCTTGAATTCACAGCAAAGATATCTCTCAATTTTTCAGAAGCAAGACTCTGAAGGGTAGGATGTAGGTCTTGCGGTGGAGGTTTCTTTTAACTTCCTAGAAGCAAGCCCCCCAAGCAAGCATCCCTCTCTGATGGCAGGTATCAGAGAAAATCTCACAGACATTTTTTTCCTGCTGATCAGTAGCTTTTTTATTCATAAGAAATAGTTCTTCAATGGAGAATGGGACTGATCAGACCATCTTCCATCTGGATTGCTAAATCTGTTACCAATTTCTGATGCTAAACTGGGTTCTTTTTCCTCCTGGAATTGTGGAACCAATAGCAAGACCGAGCACTGATTGTACAGTGAAGGAGACTTATTTTTGGCTGAGAAAAGGAAAACTGGGAGGAAAAAATTGCAAACCTACTTCTCCCTAAACACATACTGTACTTTATAGCTTACACAAAAATTGGGCTGGGGATTTAGCTCAGTGGCACCATGCCAGCCTTGCAAGTGCAAGGTCCTGAGTTCTATCCCCAGTACCAAAAAAAAAAAAGCTTACACAAAAATAAATTAAAAATACATTGTAGATCTACATGTAAAATGCAAAACTCTGAAAGTTCTAGAAAAAGTATAGGAGAAAATCTGTATGACTTTGGGTTGGACAGTGATTTACTTTAATTTTAATTAGTACATGTTTGTAGTACATAATGATTACATTTATCAAGGGGAGTTGGTACCTGTACATGATACATCTTAATTCTTGGGCAATGAGTAAATACAACACTAGAAACATGATAAAAAAATAGCTAAGTGTGGTACATGCCTGTAATCCAAGCACTCAGGAGGCTGAGGCAGGAGGATTCCCATGAGTTTGAGGCTAACCCAGAGTGTACAGTGAGTTCAAAGCCAGCCTGAACTACATAGCAATACCTTGTCTCAAAAAAACCAAAAAAAAAAAAAAAGAAAAAAAGAGAGAGAGAGAGAGAAAGATTTTATCAAAAACTGCTTTGAGAAAGAGACTACTAAAAGAATGAGACAAGGCCAGGCATGGTGGTACATGCCTGTAATCCCAGCACTCAGGAAGCTGATGCAGGATCATCATGAGCATCTGTAACAAAAGAATGGATGAACAAAGTAGTCTATACACAAAATAGGATACTATTCAGCCTTGAAAAGGTAGAAAAACATGCCAAACATGGATGAACCATGATCAAGACATTATACTCCATTAAATGAGCCAGACACAAGGACAAACACTCTGTGACAAGTATCACTCCTAGGACACACTTGAAACAGGTAAATTCTTAGAGACAGAAAATAGAATGGAGGTTGCCAGGGATAGGGGTGGGGAATGGGAAGTTTATGTTTAATGGGCACA